GCTCGGGCGTGGGCGCCTCTGTTGGCCAGCACTTTCCCCAGGGCCTCTATGTGGTGCCACCTCGTCCCCTGTCACGCACGGAAATCACAGTGCTGACATGTTGTCACATCTTGGCACCCACGTCGGTGACGAGCCGAGAGGCCCAGCCTCCCGGAGTTAGCATGGCAAAGCAGCCACAACCTCAGCCCTTCTAGAAGTATCCTCTAGACCACTGGAACCAGCCGGGGGCATGGGCTGGTCACAGCATTTCTGATTCAATGCTACATTAATTCCCTGACATTAAATTCAATCTATAATGAAACCAGGAAAAATTGAGGAGTGGGTGGCATTGGGAGGTGGGGGAGGGGGACCTGGGAGGAGCGGCACTGATGGAGGTCATTTGCTCACAGACGGACGTGCTGGATGACAACTCCAACATACAGCCTCTGGGAGATACAAAAATATAGGTTAAAAAACAAAAGAACTGGGCTGAGAAGGTGGCTCAGTGGTAGAGCGCTTGCCTTGCATGCCTGAGGCCCTGAGTTCGATTCCTCAGCACCACATAAGCAAAAAGAAAAAAGCTGGAAGTGGCACTGTGGCTCAAGTGGTAGAGCGCTAGCCTTGAGCTGAAGAGCTGAGGGACAGCGTCCAGGCTCAGAGTTCAGGCCCCACGACCGGACCCCCCCCCCCAAAAAAAAAAAACCAAAAGAACTACTTTCCCCATTTTGACGGGGCATCCATCCCACAAAAAATGGAATAAGAGGAAACAAGGTTTTATAAGAAACAAGAGATTCAGAGGTCTGTGATACAGCTCAGGTATTTCTCCCATTCTAAAGGCCATAGAGCTCTGTGTAATCATCTAAGAAGTGAAAAGCCAAAACCATGCTGTGGTGTTTGTACAAGGACTGGGGCTTTAACTCGGGGCTTGGGTGCTGTCACTTAGCTATTGTCTTTGCTTAAATCTGACACTCTACCACTTGAGCTACAGCCATAGCTCTACTTTCCGTGTTCTGTGGCTAATTGGAGATAAGACTCTCATAGACTTTTCTGCCCAGGCTGGTTTTGAACCATGATCCTCAGATGTCAGCCTCCTAAGTAGCAAGGATGACAGGCATGAGCCACTGTGGCTGGTTGATTTGTTTTTGATTTACCAGTGTCAAACCCCTTATTTCAGTCCTGCTTTCTCAATGAAGGCTGAGAAAAGTGTGCAAAGAGACCTGAGGGTCACCCTTGCTGTGTTCTCAGGGGAAATTGGTCTTTTTTCATGCCTCACCATTTTATAGATTTCTTTACCTTTCCACCAACACTGTACCGTGTGGAGCCCTGCAGGGAAAGCCCCGGACGCGGTGAACCATAAACTTGGATCTATTTGCAGAGCGGAACGTTATGGCCACATTTTATTTTGCTAAGCCCAAGGCAATCATAGGAACCAGGGTCTCTACCATGAAGCAGGGGCCAGGTGGTCGCCTTCCAAAGCTAAATTACGTGTGAGCTTCGCAGGGCCTGATTCCTCTTCTCCAGCTTTGAGACGGCATGATGAACAAATTATTTCCTTGTTCCCAGGTCATCAAAAGATTCCTCACGTTTTTGCTATTTAGGTCACTTTTCATAGTTTTGGGACCTCTAGCAATCATGATGTGGTTCTTGACCCATGTGAGAAAAAGAACATCTTTGGTTAGCAGATGTGTAATCTTAGAAAGGGAAGGCATCTTAGAAAGGGGCACCATCTTCACACACAGAGACTAAAGCAGGGTGCTGTTAGGGGAGGAACCCACAGGGCTTCTGTACCACTGATCATGTAAAATAGTGTTTATCAAAATGAATCCCTGGAAAAGGAACCAAGGTTGGTTGGTTGGTTTCTGCTGTGCGTGGTGAAGATGGAATTGTCTGTTTTTGCTTTTTAGTGTTTTTTATTTGTTTCTTGGTCAGTTTTTTTCTTCCTGCCTTGTTTGTTTCTTTGCTTTAGAGGAGTAAGGGGACACCGAAATGGAGTGACAGAGGGTGAACCAATTCAGCAGTCGTACTCACAGGACGCTGTTTTGAAAACGAGCTGTACAACTTGTGGGAGGGGAAGTGAGCGGACAGACAGAGCGAAGGGAAGGGTGACGTTGCCAAAAAAGAAATGTACTTGCTTCCTGACTTCTGGAAGGGCCACCCCTCTGTACCTCACCTTAATAACAGCAGTAAAAAAATATGCTGCTAATAAAAGAAAGGACACCCCTCTCCAGGCCCGCCGTGGTGGAGCACCATGGAGGGTCAGAGGCCAGGCCAGAGCTGCACCCCGTCACGCACGGGGCGGCCACCATTCTTGTTCCCTCATCATAAACTGAATTTTAACAGCTCCCTTCACTTCCTCTTCTCTCCTTATGCTTTTTTACCCTGGGAGTTGAACACGCTGCTGGCAGTCGGTAAAATAGCGCAGCAATTTCTCACAATCCTAAATGTAGAATTTCTGTCTGACACAGTAACTCCATTCCTGGGAATTGACCTGTGACAAATGAAGCACCCGTGTGCACACAGCAAAACCACCGTACAGCAGAATTACTCACAAGAGCCAAATGACGTGTGCACAGGCGAAATGAGAATGAAGCGGTGAGCAGAGGAGTGTGTCTGCATGGTGGAATAGTATCAGGCAATTACAAAGTACAGTACTGATGTACATGACAACATGCCTGAGCCCGGAAGCCATCATGCTTAGTGAAAACATCCAGACAGATAACACAAGTGAGCTGATACTATCGGAGCCCATTTATCGGAAAGGTCCAGAAAGAGCGATCTAGAGACCGGATAGATTAGCAGGGCTCCAATGGCTCACCTCTGTAATCCTAGCTATTCAGGAGGCTGAGATCTGAGGATTAAAGTTTAAAGCCAACCCTAGCAGGAATGTCCATGAGACTCTTATCTCCAATCAACCACCAAAAACCTAGTAGTGGACCTGTGAGACAGCATTCGGCCCTGAGGGCAAGCCCCAGTATGGTCACAAAAAGAGAGAAAGTTTAGAGCATAGTGTAAAAAATGGAAGGAATTATGGATGGAAAGTAGAAATAAGGATTAAGTGCTCTAACATCAGATATGGTGATCACACATTCTGTACATTCGTTTTTTTGTTTTGGGGCTTAAACTCTGGGCCTGGGCACTGTCCCTTAGCTCTTCAGCTCAAGGTGAGCACTCTACCGCTTGAGCCACAGCACCACTTCTGGTTTTCTGAGTGGTTTATTGGGGATAAGTGTCTCACGGACTTTCCTGCCCGGGCTGACTTTGAACCTCGATCTTCAGATCTCAGCTTCCTGAGTAGCTAGGATTACAGCTGTGAGCCACCGGGGCTGGCTCTGTACATTCGTTTTTAAGTTACAATTGTGTGTTGAGTATTATAAGTAATCTGATATTGGGTTGGGTAGTTGCTCCCAGCTATAACCCATTGAAATCTCAGACTATGACTTTATGTACAAACACGATCATTCCATATATAATCTTTACCTGGCAAGCATGCTGCGTAAGCCAATCCTCATGGTCAGTAATTGCATCTGCAAAGGCCCTGTGTCCATGCCAAGCCATGCTCTGGGGTTCCAGAGGGACCTCAGAAAGGCATGAACTTTTGGAGGAACGCCAATAAGATCTTGGCCCGCAAAGCAAGGGAAGGTCTTTCTTCTTGTGATTGAGGAAATGAAGCCAAAAGCAGGTCGAAGGATTTATTTTGCTTGTTTACCAGATCTTCCTGTTTCTCTTTGAAAGATCTCACTCCTATTTTAGGTGTGTAAAAGTCTGTCAGAATTTTTATGCGGAGCTATCTGTGCCTGAATCCTGCTCCTTCCTAACGGAAGCCCACGTGTGCCCGGCACAGTCACGCCCCAGTGCTTCCCCTGGATTTTATAGTTTTGGCTTGTGAGCTTGTGCCCTGCAGAGCTTGTTCTGGGAAGATTCTAGTGGAGAGGAAGGAAGGGCCCAGCCTTCCAGAGTGTGTTTATGATCATTTTTTTTCAACCTTCCTTAAGTCTTTTACCAAATTACCAAAAATTCCTTGTTGATTCTTTCACGTAATTTACTCCAAACCCATGGAGAATTGAGCCAGTCGCACATCGTCAGGGAATACATATATGTGTTTGTCTATGACACAAGCCACAGTAGTTTACACCTCCCCTTACTGTTTGTGTTTTTCCTTTTTATTTGTCTCTTTGTACATCCTTCGAGGAACAGCCTAGCAAGAGTGAGGCCCTAAATTCAAACCCCAGTCCAGCCCAAAATATATCTTTTAATGGTGACATGTAACTGCAAGGATTGTTTAACACAGTAGGGATCTGATACTGAGGATTTCATCTCCTCGGTGGAAGACGATAGAAATGATGGATGTTCTGGTTTCCCCCGGTTCCCACAGGTGAGAGGAAGCCCAGGATATTTGTCCTTGTGGGGTGGGCATTTCACAGGATGACCTGATGCCCATCCATGTTACTGTGAATGACATAATTCCTTTCTTCTTAACAAAAGAGCAAAACAAGGTCACAGGAATAAAAGGAGGTCTTACAAGGGAGGTGTAAGGGGGAGAAAAAGCAGAGGGAGGCGTGGGAGAAGACAGTAATGATGGCTTGAATATGACTGACAGACATGAAATGCATGTATCAACAAGTTATGGTGACATCTCTTACTATGTACAATTTAACATACGCCTTTAAAACAAAAGTAAGAAGTGTACATATTTCTAGAAAGACGAGAATAAGGCTCCTTTCCAGAAGAATGACTAAAATCCTTTGCCTGAATGTCTCAGGGATGTAAACCATAGTGACCCACCTCTGCCCCCAACAGGACAGGAAGAGAACAGCAGGCCCACGACGGTGAATCCATGCCGCCGTCTTTCCTGCGTGGGACCCATTTAATCAAGTGTTATTTTTCTGCTACTTTCTTTTTTAAATATTGTTAGTGATTCTTGCTTGGCAGTTCCTTGAATAAATGTCTCCTGGAACATAATTCAGCTGAGCGTTGAGAACACGGCTTTGCTGAGCGAGTGGTGTCTCCTTTGGGTTTTTCAGTTCCTGCCATGATCACGTCCTATCCAAACACAACTCTGGCTACTCAGGGTCAGAAGAAGGAAATGAGCTGCGCGGCCCATGGTGAAAAGCCCATTATTGTCCGCTGGGAGAAAGAAGACAGGATCATTAACCCGGAGATGGCCCGCTATCTCGTGTCCACCAAGGAGATGGGCGAGGAGGTGATTTCTACTCTACAGGTAAAAGCAGGACAAAGCCAGCAGATCCAAACCGACTCTGAGCATCTGTCCTGTCACACGGGCTGGCATGTGGTGGGGATAAATTGCCGACAATGTACTAGCATTTATTAGGAAGGACCGTTTCACCCTCCTCCCCACCCCCCCCCCCCATACAATAAAGATTACAGGGTAGCTTTCACATGGGGTGTGGTATCACAAGTATTAAGAGTAAAATCATGGCAGGTACCAGGGGCTTGTGCCTATAAAGCCTAGCTGCTTGGGAGGCTGAGATCAGGAGCACCACAGTTCAAGGTCAGCTTAGGCATAAACATTCATGAGACTTCCCCTCTTCCTTTCTCAACTCCTAGCTGAGTGTGGTGGCTCAGGTCGATTATCTCAGCTGTGTGGAAGGCTGAGAATGACAGGATCATGGTTCTAGGCCAGCCTGGGCTATAAAGTCTGAAAGATTTCCTCCCGTTGGAAAGAAGCTAGGCCTGGCAGCATGCAGCTGTACCGGGAGGTCTGCATAAGCAGATGAGACTTGGGTGCGTGCCTGGGAAGGGAGCGAGAACCTGGCTCTGAGGAGCTGTGGGCGTGGCTCAGCAGTTACATGATTGCCTCATGTGCACAAGACCCAGAGTTAAGTCCTCAGCACTGGGGGAAAAAAAAGAGGGAGGACGGAGCAAAATGATCACTTTGGTGATCACATTTCAGAGAACACAGCTACAATAGTTTTTTAAAGGCTTTTAAAATGACAATTACTTCTAGAGGAACGGACACCTAGGCGTTGCCCATGTTTTAATTTCCTACGAGAAGAAAACTTGGATGGGCTCTAGGACAAAAGTGCTTTCATGAAAACTACTTTGTTTCTTTAGAAACAGTCAATATAACGATATTTCGTTAACGTAAGTTCCCAAGAGCTAAAAAGAAGAATGGTCTCCTATGTCTAAGCACTGTTGGTATTAAACCCAGCAATGCATTTACTATGGGGAACAAAGGACACCATAACACGTATTGGAAGGCTGAGAGGCCCCATGCTCAGAATCAATAGCAGTTCTCTAACAAGGGGGCAAAGCTGAGTTCATCTGACACAGAAGCCCGATGAGGCCTACTAGCCAAAGCCCGGGGGGCAGTACTCCTGAACCCCAACATGCACAAGGACCTGCTCCTAGAGCTCACAGACACCACGATCCGAGGGTCCTTGGGCCTTTCCACACAGCAGCAGAGCATCACCTGGAACTTGCACACCTTTGCGCGTGCTCTCGAACACCTCTGAGCCACTGGCAATGCGTGTTGGGATGCCGGTGTGGGGCGTACAGTGGTCTGGCTGTGTGGTTTGGGGCACAATGGCAAGGACAGGCCGGCATGGGGCACAGACGAGATTTCCTCTGTCACTGTTTTCAGTCCCAGCTGGCTGGGTCTGTGGTGGAGCCCGGGAAGATACACGAGGCCAGCCATGTTTCTAGAAAAGTCTTTAGTCAGGGTTACTTTGATGTGTAAAAATACACCAGGGGGAAAGTAGCGGGGAAGAGGGCTGTGTGGAGTGCACATGGACCTGAGCACAGCGTTTGAAGAGCCTGCCTGGGATCACGCATCCAGTTTCACAAACATGGATGATGTACACCAAGCCTGCCCACCTCCATACCTACGATGCATTTGAAATGACTTCACCCAGAAGGCACGTGTGTGTGTGTGTGTGTGTGTGTGTGCGCGCGCGTGTGCATCGTACCAAGAAGAGCAGAGCGGACGTCTGAATCCCCCAGCTACTTCCATTCCTCCCCAGCTCCACGCTACTGAGTAAGATGAGTTTCCTTCTTTACCCATAGATTTTGCCAACTGTGAGAGAAGATTCTGGCTTCTTCTCCTGCCATGCTATCAATTCTTACGGGGAGGACCGTGGAATCATTCAGCTCACAGTGCAAGGTAGGAAGGAGACAGGACCAAGGGGAAAAATGGTTTAAAGCAGCTTCTCAGGAAAGCATGTGGGGGCTCAGCCTCAGCATCCAATATGGGATCCAATGTGCTCCATTCCATCATCTCAGGAAATCATGAGTATGCTTGAAGTCAGCACTGAGCCATGTTTTGCAGAGCCTATGATGAAGTCTGAGGGTACCCTTGAAACATAGGGAACACAGCCTTTGCAGGAATTAAGGCAGATGATAGGTCCGTGGCAGGAGCTCTGAACAAAGCTCTTCAGGTTTTAGGAGCCCATGTGCACACGGAATGATCAGGAGGAAAGAGAAGTTTTACATCAGAGGCCAAGATATGCTCCGACCTGGAGATCTAAACCTAAAGAGATCTAGAACTAACATGGTGTCTCCTAAATCTGCCATTTTCATGGCCAAGTCAGTCTTGTTGTACACTAGTGTCTCACACCTGCAATTCTAGCTGCTCAGGAGGTTGAGATCTGAGGATCATGTTGTTCAAAGCCAACCTGGGCAGAAAAGTACTAGGAGATCCATGTGGCTGTAGTGTTCTAGCTTTGATCAAAAAAAAAAATCTCAGGCACAGTGCCCAGGCCTTGAGTTCAAGCCCTGGTATGCTACTAAAAAGAAAAGGCAAACAAAAAAGCCAAAACTATAAGTCCATAAAAAGGTAGAATTACTCCTCTCTGTGATTAGCAAAAATAAACCAATACTTCTAAAGAAGACGTGTCTGGGCTTGCCCAATGCAAACAGGTGGTTTGCAAAGTCACACTCCTCATTGCCACGGGCATGTGAGCCTGAGCTACCTTGAACTAACCCCTGGTGTTTCTGTTGTTGGCCCAGAGCCCCCAGACCCTCCTGAAATTGAGATTAAAGACGTCAAAGCACGCACAATTACGCTCAGATGGACCATGGGCTTTGATGGAAACAGCCCCATCACCGGCTATGATATTGAATGCAAAAATAAATCAGGTAAATCCTTTACTTCCTCCAGCACTTCCAAAGCCATTTGATGTTTCTCCTCCTTTATTATCTGACCTAGAAGAACGTACCTGCTCAGCTCACAGATGCTCAAAGCACGCTGTTTCTGTTGTTTGTCATTGTCCGTGGAGGGGTGTGTCTAGGTTTCCTTCTGTTCCCAGGCTCAGCTCTGCCCCTATGACCTTCCCAGATGTCTGTCTTGCCCAGAGAATGGCTTCTTAGCCATTCCCACCACCCGTGGGCCTCTGGGCTCAGAGCAGGCCCCTGTTGTGACCTCTGCTACTATCACCTCCCACTTCTTATGGGGTGATGGCCTAGAACACAAGCTGAGTGTGGTGCGCCGAGCAATAAAACTCTGGGCTCTGCGCCATGCAGTGTGGTGGAGAGCTGCACCGGCTGCCAGGGCACACGCTCCCTGTAGCAACCTCCTAGAAATGACTCGGGAGTGGGCCAGTACATCACTGAACCCAGGAGAACCTGGCGAAGAGCTCACACTTGAAGCTCCCTCAGCCATCAGCACCATTACGATGTCTGTGGATTATCTTCCGCTCCCACACCAGGGCCATTGTGAATTTATGGTTAAAACAGAGACTGTCACTACCACCGCCCTTAGTTGGAAATGTTTATCATGCCTCATAAACCGTGAGGGAGAGGAGCCTGTCTGCACCGGAAGGGTTAATACAATTCTTAAGAGGCCACAGAAACAGCCTTATTTTTTGCTTTCTGAGCACTGCGTATGGCTTCAGATTGCTCTGTCGTGAGCGATTTGGTGTCCTCTGAGCTGGGCTGTAGGAACAAATCAGGCTCACAGTGGCTGGAAAAGACAGGTGCAGAGGGAGAAAGATTTCCATGAGCGCACTGGCCACAGAAACAAGGAGGGGGGAGGGTAGATGGCAAACCTAAGGGCTGGCTAGCAACAACTGTGGGAGGTTAGGCAGACTGGAGATCCAGAGAAGCCGAAGGAGAGTTTGGATTGGTTATGCCCACCAGGACGGGTGTGAGGATCAGCTCACCAGCCTCGGGGCTAGGCCAAGAGTGCAGATGGGAGCTCTCCATCCATGAGGACTGGGGAAAGTCCTCACCCTCAATTAATGAGCATCACCTGCACTGGCCTGGCTGCTCCTTGAGCCTTGGGGGCCCCTATGTCTCATTCCTCCTTGCTCATTTTTTTTGAAGTTCATTTTGATCAATATTTTATATGATCTCAAGCACAGAGGCATTGCCTCTGTTTCTCCCCTATGAGTATCTTCCTTTGGTCTCCCTGTGTGTGAATGCAGAGAGTCCTCTATAATTGATCATGTCCTGGTGCATTTTAGATCTAGCATCCACACACGAAAGAAAACATGCTGTTGGTCTCTCTGAGCTCGGCTTACTTCCCTTAGCATGATTTGTTCTAGATACATCCATCTCCTGGAAATGACATCATAGTGCCTGTGTACAATTCCATTGTGTATATGCACCACGTCTTTGGACCCACTCATCTATTGTAGGGCATCTGGACTGTTTCCGTAACTTGGCTATTGTGAATAGTGCAGCAGTGAACATGGGTGTGCAGGTGTCTTTATGGTCTCTTGGCTGGTGATGTTCTGGGTAGATGCCTGTGGTGGTATGGCTGGGTCACAGGGAAGATCTATGTATAAGTGTTTGAGGCACCTCCAGAGTGGTTGTACTAGTTTACATTCTCACCAACAGTGCAATAGGGTTCCTTTTTCCCCCACACCCCACCAGCATTTGTTGTTCAAAGTCATGATGGTGGCCAGTCTAACTGGGGTGAGATGGAATCTCAGCGTTGTTTTGATCATTTCCTTTTTGGCCAGGGATGATGAGCATTCCCCTTGTGTTTCTTTGCCATTCTTACCTCTTCTGAGCAGTCTCTCCTTAGCTCCTTTGCCCATTTAATGATTGCTTTATTAGGATTAGGAGGGGTCAGTTTCTTGAGCTCCTTTTATATTTCGAATATTTTGTCAGCTGTATTGCTGGGAAAGATCTTCTCCCAGTTGGTTGGCTGTCTTTTTAGTTTAGTAATAACGTCCTTTTAGTTTAGTAATTACATCTTTTGCTGTGCAGAAACTTATTTTGATGTAATCCCATTTGTCAAGTCTCTCCTCCATCTGCTGTAACCTTAGCACTCTTTTCAAAAAGTACCTTCCTAGGCCTAGTGTTCCTCCTGCTCCCTCTTGCAGTAATTTCAAAGTTTCAGGTCTGACGTGGAGGTCTTTGATCCACTTTTGAGTGGTGAGTGCATGGTGATACGCAGAGACCCACTTAGAGTCTTGTGCATCTGGATGCCCAGTTTCCCCATCACCAATTAATGAAGAGGCTATCTTTGCTCCAGCATGTCTTTCTCCCTAATCAAATATCAGGTAACTGTAAGTATATGGTTTTATTTCCGGGTCTTCTGCTCTGTCTCTGTTACAGCTCTGTAGTAGAAGTTGAGGTCCCAGATTGTGACACCACCAGCATTGTTCCTTCTGTTCTTAACTTCTTCAGGTGCTACTTCTTGTGTTCGCTGTATTTGAAAAGTTATTCTCACAACAAAAGATTTGGAGCAAAATTATCTAATCATTTCAAGAAGTTCCCAAGAACTTCCTGTTCTTGGGATTTTGGTGGGGATTGCGTTAAATGGGTAGATCATTTTTTCAACACGACCATTTTCACAGTATTAATTGTACCTATCCATAAACACAGAAGCTCTTACCATTTCCTGCCTTCAATTTCTTTCTTCAAGTTTTTATAGTTTGCACCATAAAGGTCTTTTGCTTCCTTGGTTAGGCTCATTCCCAAATATTTTTTGAGGCTACTGAAAATTGAGTTACTTTCCTAATTTCACTCTCTGCTTATCTATTGCTGTCATGCAGAAAGGCTACTGATATTTGTGGGTTGATTTTGTTCTCTGCTACTTTGCCAAAATTATTTACCAGCTCTAGGAGCTTGAGGGCAGAGTCTTTCAGATCATTTGGGTATCAGATCATATCATCTGCAAATAGGGATAGTTTGATTTCTTCTTTCCCTATGTGAATCCTTTTTTATGTCCTTTTCTTGCCTTATTTCTCTGGCTAGGAATTCTAAAACTATATTGAAAAGGGGTGTATAGAGTGAATATCCTTGCTTTGTTACTGATTATGGAGGAGATGGTTTTAGTTTGGTTTTTCACCACTTACTATAATGTTGACTATTGGTCTGTCATATATAGCTTTTGTGGTGTTGAGGTCTGTTCCTTCTATTCCTAGCTTCTCTGAGTTTTTGGGGTTTTTTTTTGGTCGGTTATGGGGCTTGAACTCTGGGCCTGGGTGCTGTCCCTGTGCTCTTCAGCTCAAGGTGAGCGCTCTACCGCTTAAACCACAGTGCCACTTCCAGTTTTCTAGTGCTTTATTGGAGATAAGAATCTCACAGACTTTCCTGCCCAGGCTGGCTTTGAACCATGATCCTCAGATCTCAGCCTCCTGAGTAGCTAGGGTTACAGGCATGAGCCACCTGCACCCGGCTTCTCCAAGCTCTTAACAAGAATGGGTGTTGGATTTTGTTGAAGGCTTTTCTGCATCTGTTGAGATGATCATGTGATTTTTATCCTTGGTTCTGATGTGATGTGTTACGTTTGTTGATTTATTTATGTTAAACCAGCCTTGCATCTCTGGGATGAAACTCACTTGATAATAATGTATGATTTATTTTGGTTAGTTTCTGAATACTGTTGGTTAGTATTTTATTGAAGAGCTTTGCATCTGTGTTCGTCGGAGAGATTGGTCTAGAGTTCTTTTATTCATCGGGTCCCTACCTTGCCTGGGGATGAAAGTGATACTTTTCTGTTCATTTTTTTCTATACACATGATAGGCACTCGATGGACATTTGGTGCACACATTTTACAGGACACATTTAAAACACCGCTTGTTGGCACACAGTATTGAGCTCTCACAAGCTACACGCCTCTAAAATCCTGTCTGTATTTGACGACTTTGTACCTCTTGAAAAACATCATTCCTCCTTCTCCTCCTCTCCTACAAGCTGCACAATGGCAAGCTCTTGGATTTGCTGTTCTTCCGGGTGCCTGTCACCTCATACCCTGTCTGGCAGGCAGAGAGTAGGCAGGGAGTATTTGGCACATTTAGTGTAGGTGCCTTGAAAACCCAAGCATCTTTCTTGTGAGCAGTGGTGTCTGTAGGTGTGGACATGGACAGGCCTCTTTAGTACCCAATTGGAAAGCTACGTATCTGTAAAGCTGGTCACCATCAGGATTCGGTCCTTCAGACTCCACCGTCTGAGACAGGGCCAAAGGTGTGGCAAGGCAGTGTGAGGCGCAGATGAGGGCCTGGAGAAAAGCCCACGGGACAGGCCGGCCCCGCTCCATGCCCAGGACTTACTCCAGGGCCCTGCTTTCAGATTGGAGGATCATGACTTACAAATGAGGGTAACAGGAAACTTATCCTTTACCCGAGAGCTTTAACATCACACCTTCTGGGAAGCTCTCCTTGAACACTCAATTCCTTCTTCCTACCCGTGGCCCTGCTGGCTGATGGATATTTAATCTCCCCTCGCTGTGGGTAGAGATGGCCCCTGTCGAGGGGTGCACTGTGTTCCCTCCCACCCAGTGTTGGCACACATGCCAAACCCTGGACAGAAAACCCTAGGTCTCCACCTGTTCTAGGCCATCAAGCTAAAGAACAGTTCCTCTGCTTTTTGTTAGTGACTAGATATATTACCCAGTATCTTCAAGAACTTAACAAAGAGGGCGCTTGCAAGTGTCATCAACCAGCCTGTGCTGGGATGGTCCCAGAAACAGGAAACTCACCAGCTCTGGAAGTCCCATTCTGTTGTGGCTGACTGCAACTCTTTCTGTGAGTGGGCCTCTTCAGCCCACCCCTCCGTGAGCCAGACAAGGACATTCCTTCTATGACATGAAGACATGAAGTCTCTATGACTTCCTGCTCTTCAGGGAAGACAGTGTGTTCCCGTCCCTTTCCCACTATCTCCTGACCTTCCGCTCTGGCCGGCACCAAGGCAGGTGTCTGCATGTCTTCCACTTCCACCGGTCACATGTCTTACACCTTCACGTCACGCCCTTCCATTTCCAGTCTTCTCAAAGGATTCCTTTTCCTTAAACTGTAGTGTGCAATAGCGATCAGTGCTTCTTGCACACTGTTCCCGGAGAGTGCATTCAAAAGCGTGGTGTTTTGGGGTGAAATCTTGCAACCCTCTCATACCTGTGTCTACCTGTGTCTACAGGCATTCCTGCAAAGCTCCGGGTTCATCACTAGGGTGGCTAGTGAGCAGCACTCTCCCAAGACACAGTTCCCTGGATGAGCCATTTATCCCATCTTCTATTAACATGCATTCCCTGCATGTCTGCTCTGCCTGGCACTGAGCTAGCACCAGGAATAGAGCATCCAATTACAAGTGTGACCCGGCCCTGGAACATACTCACGTCACAGGAGTGTCACGAGAAAGCAAGCCAGGGAGGGCAGGAATCTGTCATCTTTCTCTCTAGCCATTCTCCAGAAGCCTCTCTACACCCAATACTAACCTGTTATTGGCAGCTCCCAATCAACGCCTGCCCAGTCTTCTGATAGAATGACTGCTGTTGACCTGAGAGGAAGCTCTCACCCCCAGGTCCCGTCCATACCAGACTCAGTGATAGCTCTCTACTCCAGAGAGGTGCTTCGGCTTGTATTGACTGTGTATTGACAAATAATCCTCACAACCAAAGATTCGGGATGAAGTGATTTGTCATTTCAAAGTCTGTGTGCTTAGCAAAGTTGAGACTGACTTGGGTGGGATTCTCTCAATTTTGACCCATTCTACTTGGAGGGAACAGAACATGATACCACCAGAGGTCTGGCTGGCTTTGAAGTATTGCTTGAACTTCAAGTATGTTTGTGGGGAGGTGGAGAGAGCACAGGAATTGGAGTCTGGGTCTCAGAGTGGCCATGCGCTTCTGCAGCATGAGTGCTCACCACTTTCATTTTCTTCACTGATCTCCCCAATCACCCGTCCTGTTTCCTCTGCCCCTCCCCACAGTTGAGCTCCCCTGTGGGCCCCCGCTGACCGCCCCTGCCCCCCAATCACGTGGATAGTGTGTATGATTTCGTGTCCCCTCTCCTGGCCAACTCTGAATGACAGCTGACAAGATTGTATTGAGATTTCACTTTTAGGTGTAATATTTTTTTTTCCTTTTTTAATTCCTATTTGTGAACTTCTAAAGGCAGAGAAAAAAACTGACCTCTCTATCTCTTCTTTTTTGAAAACACAAAAAACAAAACCCCAAAGACTCGTGGGATTCTGCTCAGAGAACCAAAGATGTTTCCCCTCAGCTGAACTCCGCCACCATCATTGATATCCACCCTTCCTCCACCTACAGCATCCGCATGTACGCCAAGAACCGGATCGGCAAGAGCGAGCCCAGCAACGAGCTCACCATCACAGCGGACGAAGCGGGTAGGTGATGTGGAAGAGGGGAGGGGGGCCGGAGGTGGAGGCGGCGGCGGCGGCGGGAACAGGAGGTTCAGATGCTGGATTGCAGAATCAGACATTTTCCCCTTCCAGGTGACTCCTTGTATGTATACTGTGCATCCTTCTATGCCCACAGTGCTCTGCCTCTAACATGGAAGTGTTTCCTCTTTGGATAGGAGTTAAGAATCTCATGCCCAAGACTTAAAAATACACGAGGCTAACATTCAGTGCGATTCAAGGAAACCACTAGCAGTTCCCTTGTTGGGCGCATGGGACCCAGATTGAAGGAAGAATGTGAGCGTGTTTCCTGGCTAGTGAGAGTGAAGTTATGAGTGTGGAGGCCGGGACAGATGCTTACCTGGGATCAGCAGGAATGTGCCCTGTGGAGGGAAGCAGCGAGGAGAGGCAACTGGCTAGACATCTCCCAACATCCTACCCCCTCCAGATCGGTACCTCCGAAATGATGTCTGCAGCCTGTTCATCACTTATACACCCATGTGTGCACACGCCCCTGAACATTTACACACCTGTGTGCACATGACACACACATACACATCAGGCATATAACGTGCGTACACATACCCACGTACACACACGAGGCATGCACACACAGGGACAGCCATCGTCTTGGCCTATTCATGGTTATTTAGGGTGAAGTTAACTGATGTATGTGTCACTCACTAAGCAATTAGGCAAAGATCAATGGATGCCGGCTACAATGGAAGCTGTCACCCCTAGGCTTTCTGAGAAGCAAATGGGGACAATGGAAGCTGTCACCCCTAGGCTTTCTGAGAAGCAAAGGGGGAACGTGGCTCCCAGGAAGGCAGGGGTTGTGTGCCCCCCCCCCACACCTTTCTTTCTCCCGCCTTCCCTCAGCATGAAACACACTTTTCCATCACCAAGGGTGATGGGATCATGGCCTCTGTCAGGTTTCAACTTTTAACCAAGATGGTGCTTGCTTCCTACCATGTCCTCTCCAGATTCCTCCATGAACAGCACTGGGAACAGCCACCGCTCCTCAGTCTCTCAGCTCACCACCTTCTCGGTTCCGAGACGCTCCTACCTTGTGTATTTAGCAAGCCCCACATGTTAGACGTGTTGTTTTCAACTTTACACACAAAGCACCACCATCATGAAGAATATGTCATTTCTTGTGCCATTTCCATGGTTTTTTTAAACCTATGTTAAACTCCAAGAAGTAGGATGGGCAACATTTTGGCAATGCTCTTCATTTGTGTAGGTCCATCACTGCCGTCAGGAAAGTAAGTGTAAATATCAGATCCTCCTGGATTGCAGAGGAGTGCCTATTTCTCAGTGCAGGGAGTCCTTTCTTGAAAATGTTTTTATTTTTTTTTGGGGGGGGGGGGAGGGTGGTGGTCGCGATCGTGTGTCTCAGGATGACCCATTACTGAATCTTGGCTACTCTGTGCATGTGTTCTCTCTGGCAAAATACACACGATGATGCTTCATGCTCCCTACAAGATTGAAAAGGAAATCCAGCTCTGAAATAAGTGGGAATTGTTTATAAGCACCTGCAAAAAATAGGACGTTATTTTTAAATATCTATCTGGACAGCGCTGTGACTGCGGAGTCTCCTGGTGCTGAATGTTCACAGAGGAGGGGCCTCCGTCTTCCCGGCCAGTTGGCAGCTTTGACTCCGCCTTCTCCTGACGTCCTGCTGTCTTGACCACACGCTGGGGGGAGCTGAGTCTTTCCCATGGTGCCTTTCAGGCCACTTTCCTAATGGCCGTTAGGCCATCCCTGTGGTCGCATGCTATTTCTTTTCTTTCCCCACCTCTGCTGCAGTTGCCAGTTTCCATGGCAGCCGCTCCGCAGCCAGGCGGCCAGGTGTACAGCCCTAGAAGCCGGTCTGCAGGGCCTCATCCGACCTCCCTGCAAAGGGATGCAAAAAAAAAAAACCCAAAATCACCCCCTTTTGGCTCCTTCTTGGATTGGATAGCCACCTAGGACAGCTCATTAATATTCAGATGAGCCATGGGTTAATGCAAGATAGGCCTCCCACCAAGCTACCAAACAAAGCTGGGCTTTGTCTTGGTGCAGAGGTTGGCCTGAATGAAATCCAAAAGTCGCTGTCCGTGTTTGACTTATGGGAAATGCTTCCTCGGACTCCCTGCAGTGCTGAAGGGGTTGTGCCACCTCTGCCTCCCTGGGCTAGCTGGAACCCTCTGGGCAGGTCTTTTCCACATGGACTGCTCCCATTATGTAAACTAAGAGATAAGCGCTTCTGGAAGCTGTAGGCCCTAGGCGCTGTTGCAGGGACGCAATGACCAACTCTCCGACGCCCGTGCTCACCGCTGCCTGCCTGTCTGCGGGGAAAGGCGACTATGAGGTGCTTAGCGCTGGCTCCTCCACACACTCCTCCTCTGGAGCAGCCCCGGTGGCTGCCTGCCCTTCCATGCCTTCTTCCTCTGCATGCCTCCATCTTCTTCTCTTACCCAGAAACTCCAAACTCTGCATCTCCTTTTCTGTGCGTGCCTTGGAAAAGCCATCGGTTTCTGCCCCAGTCTCCTGGGTGAGCTGGGCACCCTCCTCCTCCCACCCCACCTTCCTCACAGAGCAGAGATCTTTCTCCAAGTGGCATTTGAAGCACCTCTTCATTTCCCCGTGGACCCCTGTGCCCTGAGCTACGCAGGACAGGGACATACATTTCCAGATGTGTGTGACACACATGTCTGTCCCTCGCATGTCTTCACTTAAAGAAGACTGATCTGTACATGTGAGTTGAATATCTTCCTTGGAAGATATGTGTATGGGGTGAGGGCACAGAGTGGGTTAAACACACCCTGGAATTTTGGGGAGTGCTGATATGAGTGTTGCTGTGCCCCGACCCCCCCAAACTCATTTGTTGGAGCCTAACCCCAGGGTAAAAGCAGTAAGAGAGAGCCTGGGGGGGAAGGAGGGAGGTGTACCTAGGTCATGAGGATGAATGGAACTAATATGTTATAGAATAGGCCCAAGGGAGCTCATTCACGAACCCCCCCCCCCGCCCCTCCCACCACCAGGGGAAGCAGTGGATCTGCTGGACCTGCCCACAGGTAGGACCAGAAGGCAAAAGAGGAGGAGGCCGGAGAAAGGGAGACACACCCACCCAGCCCCAGAAACTGGTGCCTGCCGCACGTGTGCCCCTTCTACATCCCACACCCCATCCAGCGCTACAGTCTGCTGGGGGGGGAGGTGCCCGGGTTTGGATCTGCCTAGGGCTGGGGAAAATCTTTTGAATTAGGTGTCCATTTTTAAATCTGGACACTGCAGATCAAAACCTCTATTTCCAGTTCCTCTGGGTCACGGCCTAGCCACCATGAGTATGCCATGGGTAGGGTCCCCAGTTAACAAAGCCTCTCTTCAGCGAGAGACTCCATGCTGGGGACCAGGCTCACACACACAGAGCCTAGAAGACCTTTTACTGCTTAAAAAGAAGAGCAAATACATGACAGAGACGGCACGTGGCAGGCAGGAGCTGGGCCCCGTACACACGGGCTGGCGGGTCTCCGGTTGAGGGCTTTGCTGCCATGGGAACTCCCGCTCCGGGTTCCGGCAGTGTCCCCTGGCCGGCCTCCCGAAGGAGGGATCGTCACGGTTGCACAGTCTCCCTTCCTCACGTCGGAAAATCACATGTGCCAAAGCCCACTGCTGAGTATTCTTATGTGAAGTGCGCACATGCATTTTCATCCCACTTAAAGACACTTGACCTTGGAGAGCAGCTGTCGGGCAGAGATCAGGCCATTTAGCACACTCTTCTTGACCACCCCTGCTCACAGCCCCGGGGGCCCCCACAGAGGAGAAGTGGAGCAAGTAAGTGGAGACACTGTCAGAATTAACGAGTTCAGCTCTTAATGGACCGGAAATGCGTCTGACTTCCCAGGTCTCCATCAGCCTGTCACCTCTAAAGCTGACCCTCACCCAAGACTGGCTTCCCCATTAGCATCTGGACCCGAAGGTCGGGTGTCACTCAGTGCCTCGTGGCCACGTGTGGCATGGCTGGGCTTGTCACCACTTACATTGCCAATCTGTGCATAGAATATGGAAGTTCCATTAGGCAGGAGCGTGTTGAAGTTCCCTGGCCCATCGGTCGGTGGGCGGCTTGCATGTCAGAGAGACCATGACACAGAATGGTGACTTTTCAGCAAATCCAGTCCTTGTGAATGAGGCTTGTCTGAACTCCAGCGCCATCCGCATTCATTCTCCTCTACCACAGACTGGGAGAAATTCTGTAAATTAAGACCAAAGAAATCATGAGCCTCCTTGCTGTTCCTCATACAAAAGTATAGTCTTGCTACCCATCCTGGAATGTTCTAGAATTTTTTTTCCTCTTCTTCCTCACTACTTTCAAGTCTTTGCTCTAATATCTCCATTAAACCCTAGCCCAGATGCCCCACTAAAACCCAGCCCACGGCTCTCTCTGATGTACATTGGTCCCTTTTTATTCTTTATTCTTTTCAATAGCATGAGCCACATTGAACAGATCATGTAAGATGCTGAGCTGCTTTAGTAATGTTCTGGTATTCTAACACACACACACACACACACACACACACACACACACACACACACACACACACACACACACACAGAGTTACCTGTGTTGTTCAGTGCAGTATCCAGTGTTTGACATGTGGTAGGGCCTAGTTTATCGGTTCATAAATAGTCATGAAATAAGCCAGCCTTTTTTCATTTGAGCATCACTATTTTTGCTAAACACTGATCATGTTGGCTTGAAAACAAGAACACGCCTCTCAGCTCCCCAGTCCCCATTAAAGATGAACATCTGCTTGTAAATTCATGTGAAGATTCCTCAGTCCCTTTTTGCATGTTTAACCCACTTTTCTGCTCCAGTTCTAGCCCTGGCTAGGACACAACATGTAAGTCCCTGGCAAGGAGAGCAGAGATAGAAAACCAGAGAGGATTCCCACAGGGTGCTCAGCCCACTTCAAGAAACGCCTGGCCTCTAGAAATCTGGTGTGTCCCCAGCATGAGGCCTTAGGGAGGGAGTATTTAGAGAACAGACGGGTGTCCAGGTTGACTTCCTTGTACCTGGAGATGTGCAAAGGGCCTGTGGGCATAGCAGGAGACTCAGTGGGCAACCTGCAAGCTGTCTGCACGCAGCTGTCTCAAGAGCAACCTCTGGCGACCAGAGGAGGAAAACATAGGCCAAGATGGTAGGTTTGGAAACTAGGAGGAATATGATGTTATTTTTCTCTCCCTCCAAAGAGAATTAGCAAAGATTGTCTTGCGTTGAATAATATATTATGAATTGCAAGTCCCATCTTCATCGATTACTACTTTTTACAGACTGGTCAGCTTTGACCGACCCCTGTAGAAATGCAGTCATTATTTATTTTGGAAAATCACATTAATTATTCATCTTTATTTGTAGCTCCATTGCATTACAGTGCAGCCTTTGTAAAAGGCCTGACCAGACGGGAGGGAAGACCGTCCCCAACTCATGTTTCCTAATAGATTCACGGGCAGACTTGTGAATACTTTTATCTTCAGAAAATCTGAGTCTGTGCCTGCCATACATCATCTGAGAAACTCTCTCCCAAAGCTACAAGGCAGAATGAGGGAAAACCTGACAATCCTTCCAATTCCTAACTGCCTTGCTGATAAACTCAGATGAGCACAATTAGACTGAAATACTCCTGTGTCAGTATACACAGCCACCTTCAAAACAGTTTTGCAAGGTGGATCTCCATGCTTCTAGAGTGTCTGTATATAAAAAGAAATCTTTGCTTGGGTTTTTACTGGGTCTAGAACCAAATTTCCTACCAAAAGGACTTGACCATGTAAGCAGAAATTAGGGTCAGAACTCCGACAATAGTGATCCCATTGGCTGGATGCTAGCTTCTCTCTTGATGACTGCCTGGAAATTAGCTTCAATACTAGAATTAAGTAAACCTCTGAGATTACAGTGCTCCAGTATCCAGCGATTGCCACAGCCTGCTGAGTAGATAGATGTGTGTTGGGAGTCTACCCGGGGATGGGAGACTCGGAAGTCGATGTGCCTGTGTGTGCTCAGCGTGCAGTACTGGGCCCCGAGCCCAACCTGGGCAGGGAAGACCTGAGGACAGGAGATGAGAGCTCCCCGTCATAGTACCTGGTGGAAGCCAGTGTTCTTTGGTTCCGCTCAGACACTAATGAGAGAGACCCAGAAACGTGGGGAGCGAGGAGAGAGTCAGGCCTTGTTGGAGGGAGGGAGTCAAGCTTACCTAGAAGTCTCAGTGTGAGCGGGGACTTCAGTGGGGCAAAGTAAGGCAAGAATTAATGTCTAGGAATGAAATAGAAGGTGGGGACAGTATTGAGGCTGGGCTGGCACCTGTAATGACGGGACAGGCTACAAAGGAGGACATAATTAGAGCAGATTTCAGAAGTGGCATTAGTTAGACTGGGACTAAGGGCACATTCAACTCCTCCCTCCTCTCTCTCTACAACTCTACAAAAGGCACCATGATCCCCACATTTCCCTTCAAATCCATATTTCTGAAGCATAGCACATGATCTTTTCTGGAAGATTGCTGCTTCTCTTGGCATTCTGGTCCTTCCATCCCTGTCTGTGGAGTCAGCCAGCCTCTGACCCTCCTCCATGCCTTAGGGCAGTCTCCTGCTTCCTTCCTGCCCACTGGCTAGCAAGCCCAGCAGCCCTTTCCACCTTCTGGTGGTCCTTGGAGGCTGCCTCCTCTCTACGCTCTCCTTGTGCCAGTGGCCCCGGTCTCTGAAATCCAGTGCAATATCCTTTCTGCAGGCCCAATCCTCCACTTCCCCACTCCGATTTCCTGCCTTGCTGCTGCTTCACAGCTGGACCTTAAACTCCTCAGGGCCCCCTCTGCAGATTCAACCACCTTCAGACTGAAAACACACCAAACAAATTCTGTACCAGATACACCCAGACGTTTCCTTCTTGACATTATTTTGTAAGCAATATATTAGGTTATTATATTGTATTAGGCACTCTAAGTCATCCAGAGACAACTTAAGTACACAGAAGGGTATACAAGTGTTCTCTGCAAGTATTCATGCAAGAGACCTGAATGTCCTCACATTCTAGTATGCCCAGGAGACCTGGAACCATTTCTCCCAGGATACCCAAGGGATGGTCAAAGGTGTTATATTTTTTAGAACAGAATCGTATTGCAGCCTGCTTCTCTCAGATTTACGTCTTCTCTTTCGTGACAATAACTGTCTTCAGTTTGAAATGGTAATTATCTTATTGTAATTTATACTAATCAAGTATATTGTTTTCATAACAACACTATTATATATATGTATGTATATATATATATATATATATATATATATATATATATATATATTATCCCATTACATAAAGAAGGGAAGTGAGCCACAGAATTTTGTAATCAGCAGAAGCCTGCACAGCTACTTAATTCAGACCCAGGTAGAGAACTCACATGCTCAGGAGTTTAGGAATTTAGCATCTGCTGTGTGGCCCAAGTTCCCGGCGTGTGCCTCCCCGTCCACCTTTTATCTCTGCGGTCTTCCCTTCTTCTTTCGTTTGCTAGCTTCCCCAGTTTCAGCGGTGTTCACTCCGTCTGCTCTCCCACCTCTTGTGGTCTATTCCACCTTGAGTACATGGGCACCTGCGTAGTCACACAAGTGGCTCTTTGGTTGTTCATGAGTGAGCTCCAACCAGTCCTAGGACGTCTCCTTCTGACCTGCCTCCACTTCCAGATGAGAGATGAGCCAGGCTGCATGGCACTGCTGCCTTTTTTCTCAAGAGTGTGCATCTGATGTCTTGTTTAGATTACAGACTCGGGCGGCAAAAATTCTTGATGCCTCTTAGTTCTTCACTGTACCTACTATGCTGCATATTTCAAACAGGGAGTGATGGACTAACTATGAGTGAAATTAGCATTGTCCTGAGTTCACACAGCCCTGAGAGAGAGGCTGGTATGATACGGCCAGCTTTCCTTCAACTTTGCTTTTTCTGTCTGCAGTTGGGGTACCTGGCTCACTAGAGACTTTAACTAGAAAGCGCAGAGAACTAGTGACCAAAGAGACCCGAAGGCAGAGGAGTCCTGATCCCTACGTAGCTCTGTGCACACTGCAGAAGCTCCACACGGTACCCCACTCCAGGCTCCCCGCCCACCCCCACCAAGATATACACAGCTGTGTCATACACAGTGTGTCTTACAGCTTCATCTTACCCTGAAACATGCTCAAACTGGGGCCCCTTTAGTCAAGCTGTCTAAGATCTACTGAGGAGAAATGGGGTGACAGGTTCCCTACGATTCGTTTTTCACAAAAACCAAGAAACATAAAGCAAACAATGTCCACAGTGAGTCTCCACAGCTGATGCTGCCCGCCATCACTGAAAACCCACTTCCCCAACCACCGTGGAAGCACGGGGGGCCTTCTGCAGCTGCCTCGGCCACGTCCCTTGCATTCTGCTCTGGAACATGTTTCTAACCTGCCTGTGGGTTTTCGGTCCTTACAGCTCCCGACGGTCCACCTCAGGAAGTTCACCTGGAGCCCATATCCTCTCAGAGCATCAGGGTCACCTGGAAGGTAAACGAAATCCGTGTGTGGTGTGTGTGTGTGTGTGTGTGTGTGTGTGTGTGTGTGTGTGTGTGTGTGTGTGTGTGTGTGTGTGTGTGTGTGTGTGTGTGTGTGTGTGTGTGTGTGTGTGTGTGTGTGTGTGTGTGTGTGTGTGTGTGTGTGTGTCCGTGGTGGTATTTCAGGATTCTTAGAAATGTGCCTTCAGGTGATTTTGTGGTTGTACCAGACACCGCCGTGGGCACTTACATGCTGGGACCGCCGCCGTGCCAGGGGTGGGCCATCAAAGGCTGAAACATTGTCAGGAGGCACAGCACTGCGTGGGTCTTGGCGTTCCGAATATTACCCCCTCCAACTCCGCATCCACAGGGGATAAAGGGGTGATGTCGGGTATATTTCACTCCCTGGATCTGGTACAAATATTGACACCAATCCACCTGACCGTACACTCCGATTTCATCCAGGTGGGACCTTTCCCTGACTGGATATTGAAGCAGCGAGTGTGAGGAGGTCCTCACCTGCGTCCTGGAGAAAGCCCTGGGTTTCCCTACCAGGAAGATGTCGGCTGTGCCAACAGCTGGGTTCTCATGGCAGCTCCCAGGCTGCCAGGAGAGCACCAAGCTCAGCCAGAGTCGGTGTGGGTGTTAGAGCAAGCTCTCTCCAGGTGAAGGAGGCTACAAGGCCAGAGCCAGCGGACACTGCTGCCCCGTGGACCTTCGAGTCAGGGTGTTTATTCACCTGGTAGTTGGAGATACCTTGAGGAATTGTTAGCCTCTTAAAGGAACTTGGGAATGACTGCTTCCGGGCAAATTCCACTGTATCTAATGAGATGTTGTTGGGTCAAAGCTTCTTAGTCCCATGCTGGATTCCTGTCACTACATGGCATTTTGGCCCGACCAGGTTCCATACCTCCCTTTTGGAGGAGGCCGCCAGCCGGTCTCCCTGAGCCTCTCCAATCCCCGGCCTCTTGTAACCTTTGCACCCCCTCCCCCGTCCACTGTACCCCATTCACTCTCCTTCTAAGAGCTCTTTCATCAAATGTCTGACAGCTGAACACAAACGGATTTTCCTGGCTGGGGCGTGTGCGCCTTTGATACTCAGGCAGGTCCTTGCAGGCCACACTTGGGGGAGGCTCTGCTCCCCCCCGGCCCTGGAGCTGCGTTTGCAGCCGCAGCACAATGAGGCCCTGCAGCTGCGCATGGTACGGCCGAGGAACGTGTTGGAGCTGCAGTCCGTCTTTGTGAGCACTCCACGCCTGTGGGTATCACACACACTGTACAATAAAAGCCACTCAGCAAGCCCTAACCCCGCGTGCACCCCGGCCACGCTACAAATGGATTGCTGACTCAGTCCGCCTTGAATTAGACGCTGTGAAGTCTCCACCCACTAGCCCGGCACATCCACTTACCTTTGCCACTGACAAAGACTAGGTATTACCGTGGTCTCGGAAGCCTTTGGGGTTCTCCAGGTGGAAGTGTCTGTCTCCAAACTGTCCAGCTCTTATGGCTCACACTGCCAACCACTGGGGCGTTAAAAAGGCATCTTTCCAAAGAAAGGAGAGGGAAAAGTCAGTAAGTTGCAGTTCAGTGTCTTCCTAGTGCTGAAGGGGTGGGCACGATGTGGGCCGTGGGAGGAGGCTGGCTCTCCGCGGATTGTGAGCAGGTTGCAGTGTGACATCATAATGCAGGCTTCTCGGTGGGGGCCTGGCACCGAGTGCACGTCTTTGGGTCCTTCACCTTGGTCTGTTCACATAACAAACGCTTTGTGTTTGTACTGGGGTTTGAACTCGGGATCTTGCTCTCACTAGGCTGGTGTAATACTATAGATTTGTGCCTGAGCCCCTTTTCTGCTGTTTATTTGAGGATAGGTTCTCCCTTCTTGCTTGAGCTCATGTCTAGGTCAAGATCTGCCTACTTTGCACCTTCCTGTAGTCACTGGATCTCAGGCACGCGCCACCATGTCTAGCTTCTCTCTGTAGAGATGGCATCTCATGGGCATGTCTGCCTCGGCTGGCTCCCCAATCCCAGTCTCCCATAAGTCTTGGAGTAACAGTTGTGTACCACTGGGCCCAGCTATGGGTTGAGGTCTTCAGAACTCTCCAAACTGGCCTTGAATCTCAATCCATTCTCAGCCTCATAAGTAGCTAGGATTGGAGGTAAGAACCATCAGAGTTCAATTTATGAAACAAATGTTTGAATGACATCACCGATTTAACCAAACTGTTATTTTAATCTAAAAGTTATATAAGGAGAGTGGATAGCATGAAATGTGCCTTTTATGGTATGAGTTCTGGATGTCTAGGAAGGCCAAGAACGCGGAGGAAAGGAGGAGGTAGGAGAAAGAGAGAAATAGCACGTCCCCAGAGAGGGAGCACCACTCTCTGAGCCAGGATGGAAACTTCAGGAAGGGTGAGAAGCCACTCCTGCTGGGGCAGTCTTCCTCAGCATGAGGCGGAGAGCGCCCAGACAGCAGTGCTGAGTTTGGATGGGAAGATGGATGACCATTCTAACTCTGAAGCTCCCACAGTAACACCCAGGGGGCCTAGGACTGGAGTTGCACATTAGATTTATTTAGTAATCATTGTGCAAACCTTCTATCTAATAAAAGAAACCTCCCTTCTTATTTTAGTTTTTCTTTCACCAAAGAAATGTTTCAGATTTTAAACTTGTCAGGTCTAGCCAAGGCTGTGGTAACCCATGGAATACAGATGAGGTCCCCTAACCTTAGATCAAGACACCCCAACTCAGGTTCAAACTCTTGGCCATCACACCTGCCTGCTCTGAGCAGTCATCTTCCTTCCTGTCACGGTCTGGAGCTTACTGAAGCTCTTCTTCAGAACTCGCTCAAGGCTGTGGCTGTGTCAGAATCTCCATGAGGATGGGTGACTCTCCAGAGTGGAGCTATGACCCCACCTTCCGTCTTTATCTGTTGTCTTGGTGACGCTCGTGAGGCTCTAAGTACAAGCCCCCACAGCCCACCCATGTGGTCTCTGCAGCTCTGTGAACCCCTCAAAGGCTCACAAAGTGTCTTGCTCATCTTAGAACTTACACTGTGCGACAAGCAATGGATGAGTGAGTAACAGTGAACGGTGTCCTGACAGCAGTGGGAAGGGGTAGAGGCCATGGGGTACCTTTCCATATCCCAATAGCCCCTGGAGCATCACGGGACATGGCTACCTGCGGTTAGGATCTTCAAGGAGCAGGTGATGTTGTTATGAACACCCAGCCCTTCCAGCTATGAAACAGCCCGGGGCAATGGGGGTGGATCCCCAAAGATGTTCCACCAACCCATCACTTTACTGGAAGTTTCCACCATGAACAACTGGAAGGCAGAGGGCAGTGGATTCCTGGTGCGTGTGACAGGAGATAGGCCTGCACACATCACCAACGCGAGCACCAGGCAGATGTCCAGAGCAATGGCATGTGGGGTGCTCATGCCTTACCCGCCCCATTTGGAAAGTGTCCCGAATCTCTCTCCGCCTGGCCATTGGGTAGCCCTCTGAGCTCCGCCGTGTGATCCATCAGCTTTCAAGGAACCCAGTCTCTGCTCACAGGCAAATTCACCTGCTCCCCGCGGCCCCCGGTTCTAGCTCCCAGCCTCATGGTGTAGCGACAGACACTGGTGGCCTTGCTAAGGAGCACTCCGCATCCAGTGTGGGACTCGGGTCTGTTACAAGGCATGCTGGGAAGAGATGCTGGCTGGGACTCAGCAGAGAATCCATTCCTCGATTCAGATCCCCGTGGAAACTTGACCCTCACTGGACAGGGATTGAACTCAGCCTGAGGACTGAGACTAAAGCCACCTGCAGTGAGGAAGTTGGCAATCTGTTTAGATGGTTGCTTTTTTCATCTCCTTTCTTTTCTTCTTTCTTTCTTTCCTTCTTTCTTCCCTTTCTTTCTTTCTTTCTCTCTTTCTTTCTTCACTTACTTCTTTCTTTCTTGATGGTAATGGAACTTGAACTGAGGGCTTTGTGCTTACTAGGCAGGCCCTCTACCACTGAGCATGCTCCATCCTTTTCTTGCTCTAATTAGTTTTGAGATAGAGTCCTTTCCTGCCTGGGTCTATTCCTGGATGTGATCCTCCTGTTTTATGCTTTCCTCCATACTTGGGGAGGCCGATGTGGTGCCCCCCCCTTTACTGCTCTATCAGCATCATGAAGTGTGAATGGAGGAGGTCTGAGGTTAGGATATTTGGGACAAAAGTTGCTTACGGTCAGAATAATATTGAAAACGAGTTAGACTGCCTATTATTTTTTAATCATGAAAACCTACAGTAACACATATGTGAATGTGTAATATTCACAGTAAGAATGAGAAGTGTATTCTATGATAATGATACATAGAAGAGTTGGCAGAAGTTAAATACATCTGTGCAGTGAAAATATGGCATCGAAAGTTTTGAATCCTAGCCCAGAGCTGGTGGTTCACATTTGTAATCCTAGCTACTCAGGAGGCTGAGGTCTGAGAATTGTGGTTCCAAGCCAGCCTGGACAAGAAAATCCAGGAGACTTTTATCTCCAATTAACTACCAAAAGGCTAGATTTGGAACTGTGGTTTAAGTGGTAGAACATTAGCCTGAAGCAAATAAAAAAGCTCAAAGATAGTACCTAGGCCCTGAGTTCAAGCCTTAGGACTCTCTCTCTCTCTCTCTCTCTCTCTCTCTCTCTCTCTCTCTCTCTTTCTCTCACAGACACACATATACACATAAAGCACACATATACACATAAAGCATCAAATCATATTTCAGCAAAATTAGACACCATTCCTCTCTCTCACCTATGGCATTAAGAAAGTCGCCCTGCTTGCTACGGTTGGCCCTTTTCTCTGACTCTGATTTGAGAGTCCTTTCCCTCATACCAAGTCTTCAGTACATTTTGATGATACATCCCCACACCCTGTTCATCCACAGCACTGCCTCAATAATCAGGGGCATGATCCTGTGCTTAGTGGTTCTATCAGTTTGCTTGGCAGACAAACAAAACCAGTGGGCCATTCCCAGAGAGCCTCTGGCGT